GTGATACTGGGTCTAAAATTACTTGGACAGTTAAAATGCTTTGGGGGTTGTTCCATTAATGTCCATTTGAGGCTGAACCAAAACATAGCAGCAGCTCCTAAAACATAGCGGAAATTTGTTTGCTAACCAGCAAAATGGAAAATCTTTTACTAAAGCAACACTGTGGCAGAGCACATGGGGAAAACCTGCAAGACATGCTGACTGGCCATAAGCTTTTGGAACTTCATAGGCGCGGATGCCAGAGATGCAGGGGCAGACTGAAAGCAGGAGCGTGGGGTGGGGACCCCTGTCATCCTGATGGCCCGCAGAACACCGGACGACAACCCAGAGGTAGTGCTGGGCAACAAATCAAAAATTTCTGACTCTTATCGTGATAATTTTTCCCTTGTCAAATAATTTTATAATAAAAAAATCAAAAGATGTGTGTAGGTTGGCAGCATTCATGTCCCTTTAAGAAGCTGTACCACCTTGAGTCACATAGAAATGTGACTCAACTAATACATGCGACAGCCCCATCTAGTGGACAACTTTGGTTTCTGTGCATACCTGTAGTCATCGTCCATTTATCGTTATCGAGGTGAAACCTTCAATATATCGTGATACTGATTTTAGGCCGTATCGCCCAGCCCTACCCCGTCCTTGCGGGGGCTCTCCAGCAGGCCCGTAAGGACGGATAATGGCATTGTGTGTCTCCGCATTGACGCAAACGCAGAAGCATGACTCAGGCTTAATTCAGTACTATATGGTATTTCCACCTCCACTCTCGCCCGCCTTCAGCTAGTGCAGAACGCAGCAGCTCGATTCTTGACTGGCACCAGGCAGTGAGAACACATCACACCGGTTTTGAAAAATCTCCATTGGCTCCCCATCACCGGATAGAGTTTAAGATCCTGGTATTTGTGTTCAAATCCCAGGATCAGCACTTTGGTTGGCTCTCATGCCGTGTTTAAATGTGCTATACAAATAAACTTGGTATGGTATGGTAATCTTCAGCTACACCAATGAAAGTAACAAAAATGACTCTTGGCACCTTTGTTAAAAAGCCCTTTGCTGTTTCCACATCTGGTCAAACAGATGAACAGGCTGTAGTCCTAAGTAATGTGCACCAGTGTTATTTTCAATTGTGTTTACAAGTTTAGCACATTTTATTCAATTGGTTTGTAACAAGGCAAATCTGAAAATCAGGTTTACAGTTTAAACTTTGATCTTTAGCTGTGTGGTTTTCTTTGCCAAAAATACAATTTAATTTGAGCATTCAGTACAAATTTTTTAATTTGTTTTGCAGTTAAATTTTGTAGCTGCAAATAGTTACACTGCATTGTTATCTACGATAAAGTGTTTACACATTTTGAACATTTTATTCAGTTGGTTTATAGCACAGCAAAACTGACATTCAGGTTTACAGTTTAAACTTCGATCTATAGGTGTGTTATTGTTTGCATAAAATATTTGAGAATTCTGCACTGCTAATTTTTATATTTTATAATTGTTTTCTGTTGTTTGATTTTGTACCTGCAAAGTAGATAAACTGTACCGTTAAGATTAAGTGCCAGTAGCTATGGCATAAACAGCATTTCACAGATAAAAAAAGTTTACATTTTAGGGTACGTTAATTTTCCCACAGCAGACAATTTGTTTATTTAGTACCTGTATATCATTAAAGACACACAGAATGTTAATAAAAGGTTTAACTGATATCTAGTTTCTTTATTTTTACATTTGAAGCTGCTTTAAACTGACGATATAAAAATAAATTGTGATTTAAATCAATATCGAACAGTATGGAAAAATATCTCATGATCATTCTTTTTGCCATTTCGCCCAGGCCTACCCAGCAGTGGGTCTGATGCCATCGCCCAACTGATGTGGCGGCTGCAGAGGCCCTGGCAGGGGACCGCCCAATGACCCAGAGTACTGGAACAACCATCTCCTGCACCACGCCAGCTCCGACACCACAGCGAAGCAAACGGTCCAAAGGGCACCACAACATGGCCGGGCTTATAGCTAATAATTATTTTTTTTATTCAGTGTGGATTTTTTAACTTCATGGCTTAACAATCATGTTAGCATTAGCTCACTGTTAGCGCTAGCTACTGCAGGCTGCAGCAGGGCTGTTTACGAGTGTTGTAATTCCGCTTTCAAGCAGGAAACCTATTAAGTGTTGCTTTAAATACCTTTAATGTTAACAAAATGAATATATAAACAGTTTGAATTGAAAATAAACAAACACTATAAACATTCTAACTACTTTGAGTAGTCAGCTACATATTTCTAAACAGATTTTCCCATTTTTCCCCTCCAACTTGTTTTTTTCCTCTCGTTCCCTCCATCCTCTACCTCGCCTCCCACCGCACGCTTCCTAATGCAGCCTCATCGTCCTTGGGAGACAAGCCTGTTATTCCAGTAAACCTCTTCCATTTCATTAGGCCTGAATTTATAGTGGTATACACACACACACACACACACACACACACACACACACACACACACACACACACACACACACACACACACACACACACACACACACACACAGAGAGTGTATTTATAGAAGGTGATGGCACCATAAAAGTGTCTGTTGGCTTCCAGGGGGAAGTCTCGTCTGTGACACTGATCTTATTAATTCAGGGGAAGACAATAACTGTGACACACACACACGTTTCCTAATCCATTGCATTTATGGGACAGAAAAATGAATGCATGTAATAAAACTTCAGGACAATTACCAAGAAGAGGAAAATGGCACACGGGTGAAAAATAAAAAGTGGAGTTAAACGAAAACCTGCCCTTTGATGTCCTATGTGTACATATGTGTGTGTGACGTTGTAGTGCTTGTGCTTTCAGTGCACCAGGACAGTTACTACTAATTAAATTTAAGTAAGACCTAGCATGAAATAGAAAATGAGTCCTGAGTTCCCAAAAGCTTTTAGACTTTCAGTTAACCATCTTAGTTGGAGTTTGCAGCAGTCTTCAGTCTATTTGAGAAGAAAATCCTTACCCACGAAGAAAACCCCAGATTAATCACAGACTAACATTATCTAGCTGCAATTTCAGGTTTCATCTGCGCACACGTGGTTTAGCAAACCTGATTACAAAATGAAAATCAGATTTATAACGTTCTCTATAAAATGCTGGCTCAAGCTGCGTTCGGTACAATTAGTGCTCTGAAAAGGAAACGTTTAATTTGTAGAAACAGCTTAAAGATTCTTACTGAACTCCAGAGATGATCATCAAAACAAGATTATATGTTTTTATCAGGGCTGGGACTTGATTAAAACATTTATTCTAATTAATTACAGGCTTTGTAATTAATTAATCTAAATTAATCACATTTTAATCGTTCAGGAAAATGTGCTCTCAAAGTAAAACGTTTAATTAAAATTATGAGACAGAGAATCAAACATTAGACATGGTTATTACTGTAAACTAAAGCTTTTAATAAAAAAATGCATTTAAATTATTCAAATGTCACTGTGTGATATGAAACAAGACCCAAATCAACTAAAATTTATAATTACAAATAGAAAACACCTGCAAAGGGTTCCTGAGCCTTTAAATAGTCTCTCTGTCTAGATGAATGACTGAAATAAATTTGACTTTGCACCAGATTCTAATTTTTCCAGTTTCACTTGTTTGTATAATTGGGAGTTTTTATTAGCATTTCTACTCATAATGTAGTAAAAACACATAAATAATAATCCTTCAAAATGACAGTAGAACAGGCACAAATATGATCTAGGACTTAAATGTACTAACTTTCAACACCAGAGCAGGCATGGCATATTCTGAGAATGATCAGGAACACTAACTGGTTCCAGTTGGATGACTGGAGGATGATGGGATGATAAAAGATCATGGCGAGGAAATAATGTGACGAACAGGTGAGCGGACCTTCCTTACATGGGAAGTCCTGCTGTCACGTTAAGAAGGGGATGCTGCAGACCCGCAGATTCACACCTGCAGCAGCGAATCTGGTGTGATCTCCAGCCTGATCACAACTTCCTCGTTCCTTGCTGCCCCTGATACACTTAAACATCCGCCCCTTAGCTGATGGCAGCTTCAATACACCTCGCTGCTTAATGATAGTAATACATGCGATGATGTTTAGACAGAGACTCGTCTCAGAAACGTATAACTCCCCGACAGAATTGTTTAGAAAATCATCAGAAAAGTTTCAGAGTGTTTCTGTTTTAACTTAAACTTCTGTTTTCAACTTTAAGACACGTTGTTTGTGATTGTTTACAGAGTAGTGAGAACACGGAGCATTCTCCCAGCGACAGCCAGGTGCCTCTCGT